GAGCCAGAACCCCCAAACACCAACCAGACACCAACCATGTTTGAGGGGCAGAAATGTTTGAGGGACGGAAATGTTTGAGTGATGGAAATGTTTGAGGGACAGGAATGAGGGATAGAAATATTTAAGGGATGGAAATGTTTGAGACACAGAAATGTTTGAGGAACAGGAATGTTTGAGGGATGAAAATGCTTGAGGGACAAATGTTTGAAGGATGGAAATGTTTGAGGAACAGGAATGTTTTAGGGATAGAAATGTTTGAGGAACAGGAACGTTTGAAGAATGGCAATGTCTGAGGGATAGAACAGCCCCCTGGGCCGGGTGGCTGAGTGTTTTTTTGTCTCTTGGCAGGAAGCTGACATTGCCCTGGCCCCGCTGACCGTCACCTCAGCCCGGGAGGAGGTTGTGTCCTTCACCACGCCCTTCCTGCAGACCGGCATCGGGATCCTGCTCCGCAAGGACTCGGCCTCCCAGGACATGTCCTTCTTCCACTTCCTGGCTCCTTTCAGCAAGGAAACCTGGACTGCTCTTTTATTTGCTTACCTGCTCACCAGCTTCTGCCTCTTCCTCGTTGCCAGGTACAAATGCTTTTGTTTCAGAGATTTTGTTCAAGGCTTTCTCACCTGTGATGGGATTAGAAAGTCCCAGGGAGCATTTTGCTTTGAGGAACCTCCTGTACAAGTGTTGTACAAGGGCTAAGAAAGCTCAAATCCTGTCAGATTAAGCCARCATTATGAGTAGGATCTCCCCATGAGGAACATCAGCTCTCTCGATGGGGATTATTTTTATTTTTTTCCCTCTGAATGTGTGGTTTTATGCTGTCATTTCCCACAGACTGAGCCCCTGTGAATGGAGTGAGCCCAAGAACGAGGARAATCACTTCACTTTGCTCAACAGCCTCTGGTTTGGGGCGGGAGCGCTCGCCCTGCAAGGTGAGAGGGGAGGATGKGACACAGCAGCTCTGGGAGCAGCGGGGGTTTTAAAATTCCTTCTGTGACACCTCTGTGATGGGCTTTAGGGGACAAAGGTGTCTCAACAGGGACACCGGCAGCATTGACCCTCCCAACTGGTTTAGATATTTTTATATATGTTATATATATATATAATATTATATTTAATCATATATTGCATATTATATATTATATAGCATATATTATATATTATATGTTTATTATATATTATACATATTTATACATTTTATAGATGTTATATTTTTATGTATTTTTATATATTTTGCCTATTCTTATATATTATATTATATACTTATCTATTTATGTATTATGTATATTTTATATTATATATGATTTTTAACATATTTTATATATATTTTATATTTATGTATGTTATTTATATTTTATATTATATATATTATATTTTTAATCTATCTATATATATATTTTATATATATTTTTATATCTTTTTTATATATATATTTATATATTTTTTTATATATATTTTTTATGCATTCCTCCAGCTGGGGAATGCATTTTTTGCTGTACCCACAGCTGTGGACAGTGCCCCAGCTGACCATGGCCTGGCTGTTTGTGTATCTTGGGGTTACTGCTGTCCCTTCAGGGCAGGGTTTGCAGTTTGACCCTGGGATCTGCAGCTCTGCCTCCGGCCCCTGTGATTTATTGTGATTTACTGTGATTTATTGTGATTTTCTGTGATTTATTCTGATTTACTGTGATTTTCTGTGATTTTTGGTGTCGCAGGTACCACCCCCCGGCCCCAGGCGCTCTCGGTGCGGGTCATCGCCGTGGTCTGGTGGCTCTTCACGCTGGCCCTGCTGGCCGCCTACATCGCCAACTTCACGGCCCTGCTGGGCGCCGGCAGTGAGCAGCTCCCCATCCAGACCTTCGAGGACCTGGTCAAGCAGAGGAACCTGGAGTTTGGGACSCTGGAGGGCTCCTCGACTTTCTACTACTTCAAGGTGCACAGAACCTCACTGTGCCCCTACCCTGGGGGCTGTGGGGCTGGGGGAATCACCCAGGTCATACCCTATAACCCCTACAACACCTCATCACCACTGCCTCTCTCAGTTTTCCTGCAATACTTCAAATAATATCATTATTTCATGCCTTCCTGCACCTCTTCTCAAAGGGAAGCGGGCACAGAGCTCTGTTTTTATTCCATATTCTCCTTTTAAAAGCTTACTGCTCATCAAGGACTGCTCTCGTGTACCTCGAGCAGCAACTGCCATCTCTGACACTTGTGCCCTGTGTGAATCTTGTCCCCTGTGTTGGGGACAGTCTGCCCTGGCAGTGGGTCACATGTGGTTTAAGTGATCTTCTTCTCCAAATTATTTTAACAAGCCTTGCATGTACAGCAGATTTTTTTTTTTTTTTGGTGGTTGTTTCACCAAAACTTGAGTTTGTTGCCAAACTTGAGTTTGACACTCGGGATTTTTGGGCTGCAGAACTCCAAGAACCCGGTGCACCAGCTGATCTATGAGTACATGGAGAAGAGGAGGGAGCACGTTCTGGTCAAGACCTACCAGGAGGCCGTGCAGCGYGTGATGGACTCCAACTACGCCTTCATCGGCGAGTCCATCTCGCAGGACCTGGCGGCCGCSCGCCACTGCAACCTCATCAGGGCCCCCGAGCTCATCGGGGCCAGGGGCTTTGGCATTGCCACCAGCCAGGGTGAGTCCTCTGCTGTCCCCTGCTCCCTGGGGGAGAGAAGGGCCCGAGGGTGACCAGGCTGGGAATGCTGCAGGGCAGGGTCACTGCTCCGTGGGGAATTAACCTTGGCTCTCACTTTGAACCTTAATTCACAAATATTCCATCTCCTGGGGGTGTGCTGGGTTCCTGGGGCTGTGTTTGGCTTTGCCTTGGCCCCAGGGTGCAGATCCCTGACACAGTGCCCAGTTTGTTCCTGTTCTTCCCAAAGCACCTTTGCTCTGCCCCGATCCCCCAGACCTCACTCCCTCTGTGGCCAGGGCAGGGGGACTGCTGGCCAGGAAAAGCCCTTGGCTGGGGCTGCTATGCTCAGTGACCCTCTGACCCATTAACCCTGCACAACCAACCCACGCTGGGAGCCCTCCCATCCTCCTGTGTGTCCCTCTCCCCTGCCCAGCCTCCCCCTGGACCAAGCCTCTGTCCATCGCCATCCTCAAGCTGCGCGAGTCGGGCGACCTGGACTACCTGCGCAACAAATGGTGGGAGAGCAGCTGCCTGCGCCACAGCCGCGAGCACTGGGGGCCGCTGGAGCTGCCGGCGCTGGGAGGGCTCTTCCTCACCCTGGGCATCGGCCTCGCCCTCGGCATCCTCGCCGCGCTGGCCGAGCTCTTCAGCAGGAGCCGCCGCACGGCCTCGCATGCCAAGGTGGGCACTGAGCCCTGTCCTGACTCCCTGTGTCCCTCCTGTCACCAGGGTGAGCCCTGTCCTACCTCCCTGTGTCCCTCCTGTCACCAGGGTGAGCCCTGAGCCCTGTCCCGCCTCCCCATGTCCCTCCTGTCACCAAAGGCGGGCACTGAGCCCGGCACTGAGCCCTGCACTCAGCCCTGTCCCGCCTCTCTGTGTCCCTCCTGTCACCAGGGTGGGCACTGAGCCCTGCACTGAGCCCTGTCCTACCTCTCTGTGTCCCTCCTGTGACCATGGAGAGCCCTGGCCCAACTCCCTGTGTCCCTGCTGTCACCAGGGTGGGCACTGAGCCCTATCCTGACTCCCCATGTCCCTCCTGTCACCAAGGTGGGCACTGAGCCCTGTCCYRCCTCCCYGTGTCCCTCCTGTCACCAGGGTGGGCACTGAGCCCTGTCCCACCTCCTTGTGTCCCTCTCGTCACCAAGGTGAGCCCMGWMCCMTMTCTCCGTCTCTCTCCTGTCACCAAGGGTGGGCACTGGTCCCTGTCCCACCTCTCTGTGTCCCTTCCTGCACCAGCGTTTCCAGCCTGCCTTTGGTTTTCCAAGGAAAGCCAAGCAGTGGGGCAGGGGTGAGAGGAGGCTGAGCAGTTTCTCCTTAAAGCACCAAAATTTCCCAGCTCGGGTTGTGGGGTGGCTTTGGAGCCTGAACAGTAAGAAAATAACCCCCTGCCCACCCAAAAAAGAATATGAAATAACATTCTCCGTAACCCCAAGAGAATCAAATCGCATTGCACTGCTCTGGATGTCAGAGAGGGCAGTAAATGATCCATAAAAGGTTTATTCTCAGCGATGGCTGCTCTTTAGTCACTGGACAAGGAAAACACAAAGAACAGAACTCCCCCAGTGTGTGTGAATGCCCCTGGGTGCTCCTGTTCTCCAGCCCTCGCACCACGGTGCACATGGAAAAAGGTGGATCCATGAACACCCCACCCACGGCCTTCTCTCCCTTTTTCTCTTTCAGAAATCTTGTTGCTCTGTTTTCACAGAAGAAATCTGCACTCGTCTACGCATAAAAGAACCCGCCAGACAGAGCCAGGAGACCTCAGGGAAGGCAAATGCTTAAGGATTTTTTGCTTCAGGAATGGGCCTGGGTTAGGGTTGTGCCACGTCATAGGAGCTGTATCAGTGTAGGAAGATGTTTTTCTGCTAGTCTAGAGTGTTAGTTTGCTAATTRCACACAGAGCACTTCTGCAGTGGTGGTGGAGCTGCAGACAGAAGGAAATTAAGTGCCTTGAAGAATTTACATTGATAAGGGGTAGAGTGGAACTGACAAATTGCTAAAGTRGAGCTGAGCTGGCCAGGATGGTGGATCCATGTTTATCTTAGAYGTTCACCCTGTAAGTCCATGAAGGCCTGGAGGAGGAAGTGACTGGGGACAGGTTAATGTGAAGCCTCTGCTACTAATTCCTGTGTGAGGAACTGTCGTGGAACATTAAAGCTCTTGTCTGTCTCTTGTAATCAGGAGCAACAGCTTAAGCACTCAGCTAGAAATAGCCTGATCCTGCCCTGTGTGAGCAGGAGGTGCTGGTTCCTGGGAAGGCAATTCCTGAATCAGAACTGACAGTGCTGTTGTATAACCCCAAACAGGCCCTCCCTGCACCCCAAACCTGAGCAGGGGAGCCCCTGCCCCCAAGAAACCACTGGAATTACACAGTGCCAGGCAGGGCTTGTCCTTCGTCCCTTCCCGTCACAGGACAAGGGTCAGTGTTTGGTGACAGAGGATGTTTTGTTCTCGTTGCCCAAACACTGAGGATTCTCAGTGGGAATCCATCAGTGGCAGAGCAGGGAGGGAGGGTGGGGATGAGTCAAACACAGCCCCAGTGCCCCTGCAAGGGGAGATGTGAGGGCGTTTTGCATCATTCCCCTGCTCTCAAAGAATGCTGCAAGTTCAGGGGAGCAGTTTTCTCAGCTGCATGTTAAACACTTTCCTCATTAAGCTGTTTTTCCTTTCAGAGCTGGGATGACTGAGGCATGTAAGTGTCAGGGCAAATTGGTGGTTAAACCACTCCATTTCTGCACTGCACAGCTGAAGGAGGGAAAAAGCAAATTGGGTTCCTTGGGAATGGCTGTAATTGCACTGCAGGAACAAAGACACCAATCCTTGTCAGTCCCAGCAGGGATAACTGAAGGCAACACAAACCAGGGGGTGCARCTGGGTGATCCTGAATCCTGCACATTCCCTGAGAGGGGAACTGAGTGAGACTCAGCTGCTGTGAAGGAATTTGGTGTAGCTGCAGGATTCCCTCCCACCTACCTGCTGATGGGAATAAAAACAGAGTTAGGAATTCCAGGTGTTGGGAAACCAGGGTTGGTCCTTATCTCAGACTGCAACAGCTCTGGCTCAGACACAGCCTGAGCAATGTCTGTRGGGTGAGAAGGTGGATCAGCCCTTCCATCAACTGAGCTGCACAGAGCAGGAGAGATTTAGGTAAGTGTAAAAGCTGAAAATGCAACGTCAGGTTCACTTAGCACTTAAAAACCATTTGGTACGTGCTGTGTCACTGCTGGCAGAGTAGGCAGAGATGTATAAAAAAAGGTTTCATTGACATTTAAATATATTTCTATATGAATGTCTCACAGAACAAAAAAATAAAGTCTTTTCATCACAAATACTGCAGCATTAAAATAAACACTTACCAAAAKAAACAATGAGTGATATACATATATATATTTGAGTGTGTAGACTATAGAGTGAATCATATTGTCGCTTTTTAAGTCACAAAAGCACAATATAAATACGGAATTTCCTGTGAACTCTTTTCCCTGTTGTAATAAAAATACATTCTTTACAGTTAAAGTAAAACTAGTGCAAGTCCATGGGCCGTGCCAGCTCCATCATTTACAGGGCACTTCGTACTTGAAGATGACGCTGAAGATTTTGCCGCCGAGGCGGTCGGCGAGCCACGAGTTCTTGATGACGGCCAGCTTGAGGCTCTCACAGCGGAGCACGGCGTAGTAGTTGGTGTGGATGGCCCTGCCCATGCCCTCGATGACCACCAGGTCCGTCTGCCGCTCCCGCACCAGCACGGCCAGGCCCTGGTCCAGGCGGCTGAAACACAGGGAGATTCATGGTCACACCTTGGCCACATCCGTGGTCACAGCCATGGTCACACCACAGCCACACCCATGGTCATACCCATGGTCATACCACAGCCACAGCCATGGTCACACCACGGCCATATCCATGGTCACACCCATGGTCACACCTTGGCCACACCCTGGGTCACACCATGGCCACACCCATGGCCAGACCACAGCCACAGCCATGGTCACAGCCATGGTCACACCACAACCAGACCCACGGTCACAGCACGGCCACACCCACGGCCACACCCATGGCCACACCCACGGTCACACCACAACCACACCCACGGTCACAGCACGGCCACACCCACGGTCACACCTCGGCCACATCACAGCCACACCCACAGTCACATCACAGCCACACCCATGGTCACACCATGGCCACACCCACGGTCACACCTCGGCCACACCCACAGTCACAGCACAGCCAGACCCATGGTCACACCTCATCCATAGCCATGGTCACACCACGGTCACACCCATGGTCACATCACAGCCACCCCCATGGTCAAAGCTCGGCCACACCCATGGTCACACCACAGCCACACTCACAGTCACACCACAGCCATACCCTGGCCACACCCATGGTCACACCTCAGTCATAACTGCAGCTTCAGCCACACCTTGGTCACACCCATGGCCACATCTACCCCTGCAGCCACAGCCCAGGGCTGCTCTGAGCTGCCAGGTGGGATTCTGCCAGGAGTCAGTGGTGCCCACAAACTGCAGMACTTGAAAGGCAAGGGGATCAACTGAAATGTTGTTTAAATGCACCCAGCTTGGGATTTTGACCAGGTAGACTCTGTCTCCAACAGAGGAATTGATCAGAAGGGAGCAGGTTGAACAAAGYGAAATGATGTTTCTGACCCAGAGGTTTTGGCCACCTGCAGGATGTGACATCAGCCATACCTGGACCTGCCCCTGGCTACGTCCTGAAAACACACACCCCCTAAGGGCCACAACCTCTAAGGGCTGAGCAGTCCTGCAAGCCTGTAAATCCACACTCCTAATGGGTGTGCAGAAGTGTTTCCCAGTGGGAAGGGTGGCTGGAATGTTCTACAGCCAGCCCTCTGACCATCCTTGCAGCTGAGGGACACAAACCACACAGCAGCACTTTGCCCACGTACCTCAGATCCAGGCACGGAGAACTGGAGCCCGTCTGAACCAGCAGCAGCTTCTCATCTCTCAGTGCAGAGCTGTGTTTAAAAACACGAAAACATTAAACAGCTGCTTCAGCAGAGTTCTGCACATCTGGGAATGAGCCATGGAAGCAGAAATGTCACAGCCTCTTTTGCAGAGGCCTTCACCAGGAAACACAATGTWTCCTTGAGCACAAGGATTGCACAGTCAGCCCTGCAAGCTCTCCCTGGGATATTCTGTATGTGACAGACATGGCTTTGCCTCGATTAACATAGAAAATTCCTGGTGGAGCAGCTTGAGTGCTTGTCAGGGAAGACACAACAAGAAACCTAACTATGGGCGTRCCAGAAAGGTCCAATTCCTACATTTTTCACCATAATGAAAGCAAATGGGCTGAGGCTGCAGGTTGCAGATGCTGCTGAGCAATGAGATACAAACACAGGCTGTGCCCAGGGTGCTGCTCTCCCCAGGGAGGGGGGACAGATGTGGTGCTTACTGGATCACGGGGTCCATGGCCGCGATGCGCTCGGTGACAATCAGGGACTCGCTGTAGGTGACATCGTTGAGGGCAGGGCCAGAGTTACAGGCCAAAATCACCTGGGGAAAGGTGCCAGGAGAGGGCACAGTCAGGCTCTGGCATTGCAGGAGTTTGGATTATTCCCAGTTTGGCAGAGAAGTGTCCTGCTGGTGGGCAGTGACACCTTCCAGCTGTTACCAAAAGTCCATAGGAATTCTCAAGGAAAACYACTCACCTCTGTCCCTCTAGAAAGGAGCTCTCGGACAAAAGGAAAGACTCCTAAAATTATGTCTATCCCACTGTTATCTGCGAAAATTAAGGCACATTTATGAGGGGGACCCTCCTGCAAGAGAAAACCAATGCATTCAGGATGGAGCATCACTCACCTCAGGGAACAGTTTGTTATTTACAGCTACCCCTCCAAACCCTCACATTTCACACCTTTTGGGGCTCTGCAGCAGCAAACTCCCAGCACACAAACAGAACTCCAAACAGGAGMAATGGGGCTCCCTGATGGTGYCTTTGCACAGGGGTTTWACACAGCTATGTTTGAGAYTCAAACTSCAGCAGTAAAARCTYSAGCTGCCAATYCAAGCCAGGCCTAACTGCAGAGTCAGGCTGTGATCCTGAACAAGCTGGGTGCCAGCTGGACATACCTTGGAGGGTGTTTTAAGCCAGCCTGGTGCTGGCTGAACAGGATTTCCTTCTGCCAGGAAAGGGCAGGATGGACTGTGGGGGCAGTGACAGCCTAAAATGAAAAGGTAGTGCCTGCTCTCCATTAACCTCTCCTTTGTTCTCAACCTGATGTTTAGAACTGAAGTTCACTCCAGTTCATACCAGCACAGGAAGTGAAAAATGCTTAATTCCTAATAAAAACCTGACAGGACAGTGCTTGTAGTTCCCTAATTATTCCTGTTACACAAGATTAGCTGGTGCTTTGTTTTAGGATGGAGCATGTAATGATTTGCCAGAGTCTGCTCATCCCCAACCTTTAGGCTGTTGCCATTTCCAACAGAGAGATTTACACAGGCACAAAAGCTCTTCAATTAATTTTAATTAAATGGTAAAAGAGATCACATGGGGGAAAAAAAAACCCTTTGCTAATTGATAAGTTAATTACTTCCAGCAAGCTCCTGCATTAATACCAGTTTTCGGTTGGCTACTCAGAGGGAGGAACAACTCAAACACTAAATTTGGCCCCAGGTTTTTAAATTTAGGGAAATAAATGGAAATAAATGCCCTAAAAAGGAGGGGAGGCTCTGGAGCAGCTGGGTTCCAATCCTGAAGCTCCTGTGGGAATTACTTCATTCCTTTCTTTATGGTGAATTGCTGGGACTGTTACTAGGATTTGTTCTGAGTTGTCTGAACAGAGTTCTCTTCAAACCCCACAATTACCAAGGCAATTTGATTATTAAGGTGTTTAATTAGTGGGTTTAGGGCCACCCAAGGTCATACCTTCAGTCGTTGCAGCCACTGGCTGTAGGAATCTTCCAACCAGGGACGTTCTGTGGCACAGACAGAGCAGTGTCAGCATTTCTTAGCAACAGCCACTCATTCTTATCAACCCAACCTCTGGATCTGCATTGAGATAACCCTGACAAGCACTAATGATTCCTCAWTAGAACCCCACAAACATTCCCACCCCATTCCCTCATTCACACCCAGCTCCAACCATGGATCTCCCCATACCTTGGAGCTTTGATTTGGCTTCTTCAAACCCAAACTGTGGCTCAGACTCCAGAACGCTGGAAAAGGAGAGAAACAAAGGGCACACAGTTCAACACCTCCACCTCACATCAGTGTAATTCAAACATTTCTTTAAGCAGATGCCTRACAATTTTACTGCACTGCTTATGCTGGGAGTGTCCTGGGTTCCAGGACTGGGGAATGTATTTTGGGTTCATGTTAAAAACAAAAGGCTCAGCTGGACATTAAATCAGAGCTCTGATGCTAAAAGAAAATGGCCTCAGCAAAGTTTGCAGGCAGTAGGATACAGATAAAAAAGATGTTTTTGGGTCTGAAACCACTAYAAAATGTAGTCATGATTTAAATCAGCTGCAGGATGTGACAGTGCTGCACAAAGGATGATGGGGAGATTGGGGAATGMTTTTTTTAGGAAAAACCCCACAACTGGACATTGTGTAGCTTAAAGCATGCTGTTAAAGGATGGAACACATACTCTGAGACTGCCTTTGCTCCCCAGTCAAAGACATTCCCTGCCAGAAGTCCTTTCACCAGTGCAAACTGCCTCTCCTCCCAGTCCAGGGAATCCAGGGACTCGATCACACTCTGGAAACACTTTAAGGCTATTCCATTTTCCTTCTGCTTTACCTGTAAGACAGACAGGAAACACTGCATTTACAGAAAAGCATTTCCTACCCATCCTTGGCTGTCTAAGTCCCAAGACCATGTTCAAGCATCTCCTCTGTGCTCATGGCCTCTCATGGACCAACCAATTACAGYTATCAGTGTGTCAAGACCAAGAAAAAACTTTGCTGGATTCTAATAAAAAGCTTCCTGACTGCTAGGATATGATCTATAGCCCAAGAACTATTTTCTTAGCAAGTTAGAGGTGCAACAGATCTTGAACAAGTTGGGGAATGGGAGAGTGGACACACAAAAACCTAATGTAGCAGTAATATAATCGATCGATCCCAGGAAATCACCACCAGCAGTGCCACAAAATCTGAAGGGTGATTTGTTTTGGGTTTTTTTGCACCGTC